CCGAGAGATGGCAACATGTTCGGATTCGGTGGCTTCCGGAATCCGCCATGGGATCTGTGAGCAGTCTGGAGTTTCTGATGGGCCTGTTTTCCACCACCACCACCACCATAAGTTGGAGGGGAGGGGGTCCTCCTCCTCTACCTCCTTTTCGTCCTCCTCCTTCTCTTCGTCCTCCTCCTCCTCCTCCTCCTCCTCCTCCTCCTCCTCCCCTCCTCCTCCTCTCCTCCCTCCTCCTCCTCCTTCCTTCCTCCTCCTCCTCCTCCTTCACTCCCTCCCTCCTCCTCCTCGTCCTCCTCCTCCTCCTCCTCCTCCTCCTCCTCCTCCTCCTCCTCCTCCTCCTCCTCCTCATCATCATCATCAGGAGTCTGGTGATGCAACTGATGCAGGAAGCTGGTCAGGCACATTTCCGAAAGCACCCGCCTGAACGACACAATACCGCAGAGGCACGTTTGCAAGTTGAGAGGCGACGGCTAGTGGCGCTTCGTGCGGAGGAACGAGCACGAGTGGCTGGAATGGGCTCTCGCGGGTCCGACTCGACTGGTGACGACGAGCAGGTGGAACCCATCAAGAGGCTCACCAAGCAGCTCAGACAATGGGCGCGCAGGCGACGGGCTGAACGACGCATGTCACTTGAGACGGACCTGGCGGAGGCTGAGAAGTTGGGGCACACGTATGAGATGCATCGGATAGCACATTTGTTGGCAGAGCGAGCTCAGGGTACCAAGCGACGGCAGTATCTTACGACGCCCGAGTCACGACCGTCGGCTAAGGCGGTCGAGGCACACATGGCGAAGCCGAGCGCGGAGAGAGGCATGTCAGCAGTACGCGCTGATCGAGCTGAGCTTCTCGCCCGTCGTGGTACCACAGCCACTTGTCTCATGGAAAGGAGTGCTTACCTTGAAGATCTAGCTGAACGCGATCTTTGTCGTACGATCTGGGCTATGCGAAAAAGTGGGAAGCGCAGAGGATCGGTGCAGTGGTGTATTCCCGTCGAGCTTATACTTTGCTGTATTGAACCTGGACATTGCACTACGGCGAGGAGACCACCACGTGGTCTGGGACAACCACCGATCGAGGAGGTAGCGCAGTCTTGTCGCAGCTGCCGCTCGGAGGTGCAGGAGGCCTTACTTCATGTACGTCGAGCTGAACGCGCACCTGCAGCTGCGCACTGGTCGTTTGGCTTCGCCCTGGACAAGCATAACGGACTCAGAGGTCTGGACGGCAAGAGGCTCATTCACCTGGTCTGCACCTTCTGGAAGTTTTTCTTCGGCGGTCTCCTTCGGAAGCCGAGCAGCCGCGAGTGCGAGTTGAACTTCGATCCAAATTATCACGGCTACTTGGCGCACCGCAGGCGAGAGGACGCGATGATGGTCACTCGTTGTGTGGGATATGCTCTCAGACAGAAAGGCCTTCGCAGCGTCTCGGAATTGCTGGATATGTCGAACGCTTTCGCGTGCACGCCACTCGAGTGGCTGGATGAGGCAGTTGAGGAGCTGGCGGAGCCGGTGGACTGGGCCCTGCTGCACGACAGGATTCATCATCACATCGTGGAGGTTGAGGCGCGTGGCGAGGCGTTACATTTCGCCCTCGGACGCGGAGGTCTCATGGGGACCTGTGAGGCGCCCAAGGAGTTTGCCGTGGCATTTCGAAGACCCGTACAACAATGGCGTGCTGAGTGTGCTGCTCAGGACGACCTCCTCCTATTCAAGACACCTATACTGGAGCTACCTGTTTCATGTGCCGTGGTGCAGTTCGCTGACGATTTGAAGAAACGCCACGTCATCCTGTCTGGTTTGGCTACCGGCGCACACACAATCATCGAGGAAAGCCAGACGTTGCTAATCACGGAGCTCGAGAAGGGGGGCTTCACACAGAACGTGAAGAAGCGCGAGATGGTCTCTGAGCTCAAACCTTCTGAAAACTTGAAGTTTAAAGCACTACTCAAGCCTGGGTCTGGAAAAATACGACCACATGCGCGGAATCTTGGTGGAAGATACGTATGGAACGACAACGCCAGTGTCGAGGTCGGCTACCGCATTGACGCTTTAAAAAAAGGATGGGCTGACATGGGCAGATTTTGGTTCGCCAAGAGTCCTCACAAATTACGACGACAGCTCTTTCTGGGCAAGGTAGTGGGGGCTGCTCTCTCTGGCATGTGCAGCTACGTACTCAGCGAGTCGGAACTTCATCGTCTGGATGTCAGATTTGCAAGAAGTTGAGAGTGATGGAAGGTGGATCGCAGGTGGCACACGACACACATGTCAAAGTTCTCACGAACAAGCAACTCATGAAGCGCCGGGGAGTTGTGCCCTCAAAGGCGGCTCTGGCTATGCAAAGGATACGCTGGCTACAATATATGGTGCGGCGTCCTCTGGCTCATCAACAGGTTATTGCAGCTCTCTGGGGGCACCTGGAGGACGAGCCCTCGCCGATCGACATCGAAGGGAAGCTGACGGTGAGCACCAGCCCGTTCGCCAGGCAGTTCACCCGCGACTTCATGCTGTTGGAGGGCATCAGCGGCACGGAGGATTTCTTTGAAGAACGGGCGCTGGTCGGCAGGGCTTGGCAAGAGTTATGGAGCTGCGAGGAGGTGAACAAAGCTTTTTTGAAAGTTGATGCGAAGCTACTGGAGGTGCCACTCATGAGGGAAGATCAGATATGGGAAAAACTTGCACCCACAGCCAGGGAGACGGAGGAGCCTGAGGGGGAGTTCGTGTGCGACCTGACCGACTCGCAGGGCGCCGTTTGCGGCCTGTGTTTTGATTCCTTGAAGAAGCTGGTCGCGCATGTGACGAAGGCCCGCGGCGGGTCTCACGGCGTCATGTGCCCGCTTAGATGCTGCGTGATTGCGAACCAGTGCTTGAACTGTGGCAGTCTGTTTGCTTCAAAAGATAGCGCAAAACAGCATTTTCAAGCGTCTTGGAGTCTTGGGAGATGTCGGCCTCGAGGGGGCCACCAAGCATGGGAGTTGCAGGTCCCCTCTGAGATCATTTGTAAAATGCGTGGGCTCGAGTTTGACCACTTACCTGAGTATTACACACGCGCTCGAGAAGAACACTTGCCTCGCCCCGCTCCGCGCCTCGTGGAGCGCCATCGCCTTCGCCATGCCCGCGCTGCTGGCGGCCGCGGGCGACAAGAAGGATGGGGGCCAAGAGCCGCGCCGCGTCAAGTCACGCACGGAAGGAGGCAGCACGGACAAGAAGCTCAAAGGTGTCAGCGATCCAGGGCTACGTCGGTTCCTGCTCGCGATGGTCAAGCAGCTCCTGAAGGTGGCGCAGGGGATGCGAGAACTCGGAGGATGCCTATTCGACACTTTTCTTTGCCCTGTGGACGGGGCGGAAGCGTTGAAGATGGCGGAGCAGACCCACAACTACGCGGAGGCGGTGAAGCGCGACGGGAAGGGTCACCTGCACGGAGCCCCCATACATCTGGGCGCTCGCGGGCCTGCTGGCGGGACTTCGAGAACGCGGAGACGCAGTGGGCGCCCAGAACGCGAAGGGGATCGTGGACATGATGGAGTGGCTCGACGCGCACGGCGTAGAGGACAAGATGGAGATGATACGGATGTGCCGTCTGGACAAGACGTACGACAAGGACAAGAAGCGGATCACCTTTGTGCTGCGAGACGAGCGCTGGCGCCAGACGGTGATTGCGTGCTGCGTTCAGGCGGGGATGGAGCGCAAGCAGGGGAAGGCCCCAGCGTCGTTCATGGAGAGGGAGCTCCAGGAGTACGTTGTGCAGCTGGTCGGTTGAGCGCCCGACAAGCTCAGGCGCTGACGGGCCTGCACGTGGGCCTGATGGTGAACGTGAGCCTGCGGCCGCTGCAGGCGATTTTGCTGCTTTGCCTGTCGGCAGCCCCGCCGTTGCACTGAGTGTTTCATCTGAGATTTGTTCTTCCCCCTCTCCTCCCCCGACCTTGTCCTCGATTCTCGCCTCGTCCTCCTCTTCCTCGAATGCGTTGGGACCCCAGGGGAGTTCAGTGCTCACCGCGACAGTTGCGGAGGCCCCCAGGGAACCAGCGACTCCCGAGGCTCTTTTGATTTCTCTTGGGATCAAGCGGGGCAGCCCTCGCTGGAACACTTTAATGGGTAGTGAAAGGTTGCGCTCGATGTTGAAACGCACGAGGCACTGAGTTCGTTTCCTCCAGTCGGCCGTGCCTCTCGAGTCGGTCGGCGGGGCCAACCGTGGGCCACTCTCGGCCTTTGGTGCGGCCCCCTCGCCCTGCGTTCTTCGCTGGTCGTCTCGGTCCAAAGCACCGCACGCCGCCTCTCATTGATGTCATTGTATTTCAGAGTGATGAATCTGGATTCTTCACAGAAGTTTCGCAAGAGCAGCCTCACAAATATAAGACACACATAGGGGCCCAAGGCGCAGAATAAAACATCATCATCATCATCATCATCATCATCATCCCTCCTCCTCCTCCTCCTCCTCCTCCTCCTCCTCCACCACCTCCTTCTCCTCCTCCTTCTCCTCCTCCTCCTCCTTCGTCCACCTCCTCCCTCCTCCTCCTTTTCCTCCTCCTCTATCCTCCTCCCCCCTCCTCGTTCTCCTCCTCCTTCACCTCCCCACTCCCTCCACCTCCTCCACCCTCCTCCCTCCTCCTCCCTCCTCCTCCTCCTCCTCCTTTTTCCTCCTCCTCCTCCTCCTCCTCTCCTCCTCCTCCTCCTCCGCTCCTCGGGCGTTTCCCCTTCGCTTGCTTGCCAGACGCTCCTCCGTTGCACGCGGTGGCGCAGCCTCGCTGTGGTGATCTGCAGTGCTCTGGAATCATGGTTCATCGTGCCTCGCGGGAAATATCCTCCTCCTCCTCCTCCTCCTCCTCCTCTACCTCCTCCTCCTCCTCCTCCTCCTCCTCCTCCGCCTCTATCCTCCTCCTCCTCCTATTCCTTCCTCCTTTTCCTCCTCCTCCTCCTCCTCCTCCTCCTCCTTCTCCTGCTTCCTCCTCCTGCCCCCCCTCCTGCCCCGCCGCGGGGGGCGTCCCACCGTGCCGGGGGCCAGGCATGTTTTTCTTCCTGAGCGACCTGGGCTCCAACCACGGCACCGTGCTGGACGGCACGAGGCTGGAGGCGCACGCGCTGGTGCGGTTGTGCCAGGCGGGCCTGTGCTGGTGTCTCCCGGCCCCCTCGGAGAGGAGGAGGAGGAGGAGGAGGAGGAGGAGGAGGAGGAGGAGGAGGAGGAGGAGGAGGAGCAGATCAGGAGGATGAGGAGGATGAGGAGGAGGAGGAGGAGGAGGAAGGAGGAGGAGGAGGTAGAGGAGGAGGTGGGATGGAGGAGGAGGAGGAGGAGGGGATGAGTAGGAGGAGGAGGGTGGAGGAGGAGGAGGAGGAGGAGGAGGAGCAGGAGGGACCCCTCTCCTCTGCATCCTCGCTGCATGCATCTGGGCCTCCCACAGGGGGTTGGGGCAGATGGGGCCGGCGGCTTGCGCCGCAGGCGACGCAGGGGGGTCGAGGATTGCAGGAACGGGGCCCGAACCCCCTCGCGTTGTGAAGAAGTCACGACGGGGGGTTTTCGCTGTTGTCGGCCTCCGGCGGCCATGACCGGGCGCCGGGACCGTGAGAAAACGACTCAGGGTGAGAAACCGGTCCCGGGGAGTGGATCCGGACCTTCTGGGGGTCGCGTCATGAAAAAGTCATGGCGTCGGTGGTCCGGGTGGGTGATGCATCGGCGATGCGGCTCGATGCGGAGCTCGATCTTCTCCACGCTGGCTTCGCTGGTGCATCGCCGACGCATGGCCGCTGCTTCGCCGATGCATCGCCGATGCATGGGTGATGCATCGACGATGCGGCGCGATCCTCCGACCCCATCTACTCCCACCCTATCTGGGAGGCGTCGAGTGTAACGGCCAACGTATTCCTGTTGTATTCGGCACCCGAGGCTTCACACGCCCCTCCGCCTCTCTCTTTGTCCGTTCGCCCCTCCTCTCGTCACAGCGTCGCGGGGGTCGTCGCACAAGTGCCATTGTTTGTTCCTCTAGGAGTCCTCCTCCTCCTCCTCCTCCTCCCTCCTCCTCCTCCTCCTCCTCCTCCTCCTCCTCCTCCTCCTCCTCCTCCTCCTCCTCCCTTTCGAACTGCATGGAAATAAACTTTTGGAGCTCCGCGCTGATTTCTTGCGTCGGCGCCGGGTCCCCCTGGCGGCGCCTCCGGCGCCGGCCCCTGGCGATGGCGCGGTCGCGATCCGTGGGCGTTGCGGCGAGCAGGCCGATCGGCAGATCGCGTAATCGGGCGGCGTGGTTCGAAGAGCAACTGCACAACGTAAACAAGGGCTCCCACGAGGGCGCGAAGTTATTCGCGCTTCGCGCTTCGCGGTCCTCGTTCCTTCTCCCCCCTCCTCCTCGTCCTCCTTTTCTCCCTTTGGGGGGGCGGCGCGAGGGCGCGAAGTTATTCGCGCTTCGCGCTTCGCGGAGCGCGAAGCGCGAAGTTGGGAGCCCTAGGTAAACATTATACCTATACGACCACCCTGCGGGTGATAAGGAGGTTGGGGGGTGGGGAGGGTCCCAGCAATGGGTAGCAGTTGTGATTGTTGTTGTGACGATGCCAATGGAGAGTGTTGCGTCGCCGCTCGGTCTTGGGAGCGTCGGTGTCGAGTTGTTTACATCACCCTTCGTTTTTTGGCGCCTTGGTACCATTCGTCCCTCCCGCTGGGAACCTGCCCAACCTGCCCAACGGCAGCCAACGGCGGCATCTGGTCACAGAATACTGGGGCCGTCCTGGGGCCCTCTTTGGGCCGTCTTGGGGTCCTCTCGGAGCCCCATGGGCAAGTGTTGGGGCACCGACAACGACGACGACGACCATCATCATCATCATCATCATCATCATCATCATCATCATCATCATCATCATCATCATCATCATCATCATCATCATCATCAGCATCATCATCAGCAGCATCATCATCAGCACCATCATCTTCAGCACCATTATCATCATCACCATCATCATCATCATCGCCATCATCATCATCATCATCATCATCATCATCATCATCATCATCATCATCATCATCATCATCATCATCATCATCATCATCATCATCATCATCATCATCATCATCATCATCATCATCATCATCATGCATCATCACAATCATCATCATCGGGACACCGACGGGCCACCGACGGGACCCCGACGGGACACTGGCGGACACAACCAGCGGGACAGCATCGCGGGGCCCGCGCCCAGGTGGGAGTCATTTGGTGCTGGCCGCGCTCCAGCGACACGGGCACCAGCGGGACCCGGCGGGACACCGCGGGGCCCCCGCGCCCAGGAGGAGTCATTTGGTCCGTCCGCGCCCTCAGCGAACCGGGACACCAGCGGGACACCGGCGGGAACACCGGGCGGGGGCCCGCGCCCCAGCGGAAGAGACACATTGGTCCGGCCGCGCCTCAGCGACAGGAGACGTTTTCTCGCCCGCCCACGCAGCTTCGCCTCGCCCGCACGCACGGCACGCACGAACACGAAACCGAAATCGATTTCCCGGTAGGGGGGCTCTCCGTTCCACTTCGACCTCCCCCCCCAACCTCCGATTGTCGGAGGTCCGCAGGGAGGGGGGCTCAGCGCCGATCCAAGAAGACCGCGGGGACCTAGGAACGTTCATGCTCATGCATTGGTTCGCTCCTCTACAGTCGGCCCGGATCAGTAGGTCGACCCTGCCAGCTCATGGGTACCCTTGTGTCTTGTGCCTCGCGACGCGTGCCCTCTTGCGCTCCTGTGGCGATGTGGCCCTCGGAAGGGTCTTGTGTCCTCTCGCGTGTCCTGTCCAGTCGAGGCCGACTGTGTACCCCACTGTGTCCGCCCATCCTCCCCTCCTCCTCCTCCTCCTCCTCCTCTTCCCCTCCTCCCCTCCTCCTCCTCCTCCTCCTCCTCCTCCTCCTCCTCCTCCTCCTCCTCCTCCTCTTCGCCTCGAGGGGGAGCTGGACTGTGTCCGCCCTTCGAGCCCGCCGACCTCGGCCACGCCGCCCCCTCGCCGACGGCGACCACCGCCCGCCCGCCCCGCGGCCCGCGGCCCGCAGGGCTCCGCCATCAGCTTCGGGGCCTCGAGCCGGTTCTACGTCTACAGGGAGCCCTCCCTGCAGCTCAGCGGCGTCGGCAGGCTGCAGTTCTGCCGGGCGCCGCGGGGGTGTGGGGGGGGGGGAGGGAGGCCGGCGTCGGACGGGAGAGAGAGAGAGAGAGAGAGAGAAAACAAAAAACGGAGGCGAGAGAGAGAGGGAGAGAGGAAGAGAGGAGTTGAGAGAGAGATAGAGAAGGAGAGAGAACGAGAGAGAGAGAGGGAGAGAGAACGAGAGAGAGGGAGAGAGAGCGAGAGAGAGAGGGAGACAGAACGAGAGAGAACGGGAGGGAGAACGAGAGAGAGAGAGAGAGCGCGCTGGAGCGAGCTGGAGAGGCAGAGCGCAACAGCTCGCACGCGCGCGCCTGCCCCGGGCGGCCGGGGCGCTGCTGCCGCTCCAAGGCCGGCCCTCGCGGGACGGGCCGGGCGCCGTGGTGGAGGCAGCTCGCTCCGGGCGCGTGGCGATTCGGGGCCACCGAGTGCATGGGTGGCGCCACCCTCGAGCATTTGTCGACCATCATCCGCGACGACATCATGATGTGGGCATTCTCCTTTGGCAATTACAAAGAATGGTTCAAACAGAACGACACGCCGATCGGCCAAGATTGCATTCAATTGCCAGAGGCTGGTGGAGGCACCCGCTATGGTATGGCAGAACTGCGTGAACGCACCCAGCGATCCAACGCACTGAAAAAATCAGGACGGAGGTTTTTCTAAGTTTTTGGCCTCTGGGGGGCCCCCGCCGGGCCCTGGGGCCGTCAGAAAACGGCTCGGGCCGAGAAGCTGGCCCTGGGGAATGGGTCGAGACTTCTGGGGACCCCGTATGGAAAAATCACGACGTCGGATCTCTGGGCAGGCGAGGCAGAGCCAGATAGGATGGCGTCGTTAACAAACATCCAGACGGGATGTTTTTCGCCATTTTCGGCCCCAGGGGGCCCTCGCCGGGCCTCGGGGCCGTCAACAAAACGACTCGGGACGAAAAACCAGTCCCGGGGAAACGTCGGGATTTCCGGGGACGCCGCCTTGAACAAATCTGGACGTCGCATGTCTGGGGACACGGTCCGCTCCAGCGCGTGGCGATGCGGGGCAACCGGGTGGCAGGTCTCCGAGGCGGGGATGTCTAAGTAACCACCGCCTGGAGGATCGATGTTCGGAGGCCTCGACTGGCGGTGGATATGGGTATACGGTAGGTTTGCGTCGTGTCGACCAGCGGCGACCCCAGCGCGGGCGTTCAAGGTTGAACGCCGCCGGCGACCCAGAATCGATCGATGTTGAACGATCGGACGTTGCGGCAGCGGCCGATCGTTCAAGGTTGAACGATCCCTGCGGTGTCAAAACCAACGCCGGGGTCGACACGACGCGAAACCATCCTTCACTGGGCGCCCCATGTGCCAAACTGTATCCATATCCACCGCCCGCTGGGCACCATGCCGTCACCTCCCAGGCCGCCGCGACGACAATCCCCGCCACGACGCAACCGTGGGCCAACAAGCAAGAGAGGTACAATGTATGGGGAAGTGAGGAGGAGGGTTAACCTAGTAGAGGAAGGAGGAAGGAGAGGAGGGAGGAGGAGGCTGAGGAAGAGGAGGATGAGGAGGATAGTAGGAGGAGGATGAGGACAGAGGAGGAGAGGAGGAGGAGGAGGAGGAGGAGCAGGAAACAGACAGGGCGGCCGCGGAGGACGGGGAGGCGGAGGGCGCTAAGACGTGGAAGCTTTCCACACAGAGCACGCCGGCGCGGCCAGCCGTGATGGAAACAGGGGTGGGGACAACACCCTCCCCACTGGCGTGGTCTGCAGGGGGCCCCGACTGGAAATCGTGATCCCGGCGCGACTCCAGTGGGGGGAAAGCCGATTGCAGGGGCGCACCGCTGGGCGTACCGCTGGGCATGGCATGGCTTGGCATGGCATGGCATGGCTTGGCACTGCTTGGCAGTGCTTGGCATTGCTTAACCCGGGGAACCCGGGGAACCCGGGGAACCCGAGGAACCCGAGGAACCCGAGGAGCCTCGGGGAAGCGGGCAACGTAACACCAGGAGGCACCGGATGGCGGGGAGCCCGAGGAACCCACGAGGAACCTATAATTACGAGCAGCGGGCAAAGCCACAGCGAGAGAACCCCATTGAGGGGCTCTCGTGGCTACTCTGGGGGGGAGCCCAATTGCCTGATTCCCTGCACTGCTTTCGGCAGGGGAACAAAAAGTGGCATAAACATGAAAACTCGGAGGTCCGCGCGGATTTCTAGGATCGGCGCTGGGGCCCCCCGGCGGCGCTCCAGCGCGAATCCGAGAAATCCGCGCGGAGCGCCACACCCTGGCTCCTGATCCGCCGTACTTTGGATGATTTTCCGACCTAAAATTGTGTCGGAAATCGACGCCAAAGGAGCCTCAAGGGCGGAAATCGACGCTCAAAGA